GAACACTTACATATGCTCATTTTGAGTATGGTTTTCGTTAAGTGGTATTTGGTTAGAGGACTGTATATCAACTTACGTTCAATATAGAAAAAAATTTTTTAATGTTTACTTCATTTGTAAGTGTAGGCATACATAGTATTTACTTTATTATTACTATGCTGGGATCAAATCCAGGACCTTGTGTAGCTGGGCGAGTATATTCGAAGCATTACCCCCAGCCCTACATAGAAAGTTCGTATTTCAATACAAGTCGACAGTATAACGATTGCAGAAAGTTGATGCTTTAGTTTTGATGGAGAACTTCAGGTATTTTATAACCCTTTTTGATGTTCATAGATTAATATAAAGCTAGATGTATTTTAGTTTTTTATAAAATACACAGAAACAAAATGCATTAGTTTTAATGATTTTTAAGTATGTATTTGTGTGGCACTGATACATAACCACACTATATTATAACAGTTCAGAGGAACTGAACCTCTGCATGCATAAACCCTTGACTTCCCATTACTGTTCTCACAGCGCCCTTAAGTCACCATTCTACTTTCCTCCTTTGAATTCAACTCCAGGGAGTCTCAGTAGAGAAACAGCAATAAAATATTAGTTCTTTTATGACACTGTGAAGTGGCCTTTATTTTCATTTATCATTATATTTCCTTTTCATATGTACTTGTATTCATAGCATGGTTAGAATTTTCCTTTCGTTCTTATGGCTGAGTTTAATAGCAACATTATATGTGATATATTTTGTTTGTTATCTGGTGAAAGACACATGGGTTTCTCCCCACCTTTGGCTCTTCGAATAAGTCCTTTTATGACATCTGTATATAAATCTCTTTGGTAGTCTCTGCTTTCACTTTTTTTGGGCATATACCCATAAGTGGTGTGGTTGGATCACACAGTAACTTTCTGTTTAATTTTTTGAGGAATCACCATACTTTTTCCATGATGGCTGCACCATTTTATGTTTCCACTTAACTGTGTATAAGGTTTCCAATTTTTTTATATCCTTGCTAACACTCATCATTTTCTGGTTTTAATTTGCAATAATACCTATCCTAATGGGCATAAACATTTCTTTAAGTACTAAATACATAATAATTGTAGGATATTTTAAAATTGCACATTGAATAAAATTTCCTTGTTTTTGACACTAAATGTATCAATTAGGCATTTTTTCTTTAGATAACTAGTGCTTTATTCTGTAGTAATAGAAATATGAGTCTGACTTTGTTTCTGAATGCTTTGTTTTTGTTTTCTTTGGTAGCACGTATGCATATATTGGACCTGGGGTTAATGCTGTCATCTTCTGTTACTATTCTCATCATCTCATAAAATATTAAGCCTCTCATTGTAATATATAGCGAATATAATCTGTGTCGGTTATTTGCCAATCTATTGATTTCCTCTATTCAGTTACAGTTGTGCTATCATTTAATTTTGTGGTATATGCTGTATAGATCTTAGTTATTTGTTACCTCAATTATTTATAAGTTCCTAAACAGAAGAGCCATGTTCCTGCATTCCCCACAAGACTGACACAAATAACTGGTGTATACTCCCAGCCTCTGGGTGGCTTAATATTCCATGATACTCTCACAACTTTATTTATGACAAGTGGTAATTTGTAATGGTGGTGATGCTTTACATAGGTTGAGTTTAGTATGTGAATTAGAATAGAGTATATCTGGTAAGAGTCTGGCATGTTATATGGATCTCTCCTGTAAGGCTGCTGTTTAGAGCTAAGTTTCTAGTGTGTGTAGCCAGTTATCCTAATCTTGTTATTAGTAATTTTGCAATTTAGACAGTTTTCAAGTCTTGGCTGGTATTCCTTTTTATTGTAAGTATATTTCTACTCTACAGAAAGGTAAAATGTGATTATATGAGGTGAGTATTCATTTAAGGTCTCTGTTTTTTAATGTATGAGTCTCTACTTATAGAAGGCAATTTTATTGCACACTTTGAAAATATTTTGCATTCTTGTCAGTCATTGTACCAAGATGAGGTGTTGATCTAAAAAAGCAGTTTTTCAAAGATTTCCCCTATTCAGTTTCTTAACTAATGGTGATCACTTGTGTTTATTGAAATGAAGAAACTACTAATTTTTAGTACTATAATTCTGAAGAAAAATAAAAATAATTAAAAGTGTTTCCCTACATTCAGCTGAAAGAGGAATGAAAACAGATGTAGTTGTATGCACATTTGGAAAGATTTGTTTGCTTAGCCGGTCTAGTTACTACTAGTATGTTTTGATGGGAAAAATTTTCTTTGATTTCCAGTATCAGAAAGATATGAAGCCACAAAAACCACTCTTTTGGAGTGTCAGAAAATGTTTACATTTTAAATGTATGTTTGAGAATCATGGGGAGAAATAATTACATTTATCTTTCTGAAAGTGTCTAAAAAGTGTCACATGGAATTTGTACTGGCTGTCATCAAAGTCTTGCATACTCTTAAGTTTTTTTTAAATGAATTTTTTTAGTTTACCTATCTTTTGCATAATGGCTTTTTTTGTAACAGTCACATCTCAGTTTCCTGTTAATTTGTCGCTTTGAAAAGTTCGCTTGCATCTGGATCCTTTTCCTGTCACAGGGTCAGCCTCTTTAATCCGCCGAAGGTTTTCTAACTTACTTCTTTTTAATTCTCTATCTAATTCTCATCCCCAAAATTTGGTAAAAGTGATCGAATTTTAAGAAGATCCAGACCTTACAGTGGTAATCTAAACTTCAGTCGTTCTTCAATGGAATAGGATGGTAATTTAAGGTCATCTTGCATGACACAGTATCCTCTGTAATTTTATCTCTACCTTCGGTCTCCCTTCCTTTTCTCTCTGCATATCCAGGTTCACACCTATAACTTCTAAGGCCCCGTTGGAGCTGTAAAGTTACTGTATGCCACTCTATGCATGTCACCTCTTCCTTCAGCACTTCTTCTTCATTTTTGCCTACTGTCGATCTTGGTTTACCAACCCCTTTCTACCAGAGCTCAAGTCTCCATGCCCTCTCTGTTGTTTCTACCTTTGTAATGAAGTTACTTGTTCTACCTGTTGTTTATCTTGAGACAGAGATTGTGTCACATGTGGTTCTGTATTTTTCATTTTTCTAATACTTAGTTAAGGGTTGAATAGAATTTTTTTAAACAAAAGGAAGATATACCAGTGTTCCCTTTGATTCTGATTTTAAATCTCAATTTTTATTATAAAACTGATTACAGATAGGTCAGTCTGTAGGAAACATTTTCGCCTCCAAAAGTTTATTTTCTTCACAATACAAAATCTGAGTCTTTTAGGCCCAAATTCCTTCCTAGGAAATTGTCCTTACCTAAAAATAGTTTAATTGCATAAGGTTAATTTTAAAGCATCTGTTCTGCAGTTCAAAGTACGTTAAAATGAAAATTGCCATTGAAAACCTAACGAAAAATGCAATAAAGAGAACATTGTCAAAAGCTTCCTTTGGCTGGTGTGGTGGCTCAGGTCTATAATCCCAACATTGAAGGCTGAGGCAGGGATTGTGAGTTTGAGGAACAAGCCTGGGTGTCCATATTGAGACCCTATCTCCAAAAGCAACAGCAATAAACCCGTGCCTCTCTTCCCCAAACAGAAAACCCCACAACCTTTCTTTTAGATTACTTGTCGTTTTGTTCTAGTCCTTTGAAGACCTTGTTATGGCTGTTTTCTTATTTTTATTAATATCATTTTCCATCTTTTTCTTTATAGGAGAGTGGAATTGTAAGCATATAATCCTAGGACCTTTCTGTAAAACGTATACAATGGATAAACAGCCTCTTAATTACTGGGGGAGCAGAAAGAGATGACAGAGTTTTACTGATCTGATTACTAAAAATGAAGAAATGTTCTCAGAAACTTGGTTTAGTGCCAGCATACTGAAAAGTTTCTTTGACTTGGACAGATTTTCCTGCGATTTTAATGCTGACTTTTGTTTGTTGTAAAGAAAAAATACCGTGCAAAAGTTTTGTGTTGTGAGGTTAGAATTACAAAGCAATGTCGTGTCCTTGGTAAGTATTATACGTGTTTTGCTTTTCGGAGATCTTAAATATTCTAGGCTTATAATAAATTTCTAATTTTTGCCTATTGATTGATCAGATTGTGAAACGTTAGTCAAACTGCTGAGAGTTTATACTGTGAGGGGCCAGTGTGGCTGATATTGAAGAACCATTTATGTGAGTAATGGCCATTAATTTAGGGATTTTTCTTTGCTTTTAACTGTTTTAATATACAGATTTGTATGGATACATTAAAAAGAAATGAAACTGTTTCATGTATTTTCTTCTCCTCTGCCATTTAAGTAAGAATTAAAGGTAGACCACAGAAAACTGTATTTGCCAATCAAAATGTAAAGTTTGACCCTTGCAAAATTTTGTAAGATTCATATGAGGGTGAAGAAATAATTATTTTACTAAAATTAAGAAATTCACTTTTTCCATAAAACAAATTGGTTTTCCTCTGTAGCAAGTGGCTCAATCTGTAATTATTGGTTTTTTTGGAATAATACAGACTTTTACAATGTGGTTTTATACACAGGAATCCTCTTGATTGAGTTTACTATTAAAGACCACCTTTAGAAGTGACAACATGTACCACTTGTTCTCATTGGTGGAAAGAACAGTACGAGCCGAAAAAAGTACGTTATGTTGAAATGTATTTTATTCATGACAATCATGTTAAAGAAACAAATTTTAAAAAAGAAGTTTGAAAGCAGACAGATTAGCTGAGAGTTAAACTTCATTTAAACATGTATATATGTAAACAATGCAG